AGAAAGAGAAATACCACATGTTCTCACTTATTTGTGTGAGCTAAAAATAAATAAGCAAATATACAAACAAATAAAGGATTGGGGGGGAAAGAAGACACCACAATCACAACAATTCCTTGAACTTGTTAAGACAAGTGAATAGATATGATGTAGTGGAGGAGAAGGGAGATAGGGAGGAACTTATTTGTGTGAGCTAAAAATAAATAAGCAAATATACAAACAAATAAAGGATTGGGGGGGGAAGAAGACACCACAATCACAACAATTCCTTGAACTTGTTAAGACAAGTGAATAGATATGATGTAGTGGAGGAGAAGGGAGATAGGGAGGGGAGGGGGTAAAGAGGAACAGGTAAAGGGACATGAAAATCAACTACAATGTATATTGAGAAGTTAAAATAAAAAATAAAAAGACAAAAGATAACTGGTGTTGGCTAGGATGTGAAGAAAAGGGAAACTTGCATACTGTTGGGGGGAATGTAAATTAGTACAGTCATTATGGAAAACAGTATGGAAGTTCCTCAAAAAACTAAAAATAGAACTACTATATGATACAGCAGTCCCACATCTGGGTATATATCCAAAGGATATGAAATAAGTATGTTGAAGAGAATGTCTGCACACCCATATTCACTGAAGCATTATTCACAATAGCCAAGGTATGCAAACAACCTGAATGTCCATCAGTGGATGAATGGATAAAGAAAATATGGTGTATATACACAATGGAATACTACTCCACCTTAAAAAGAAAGAAAGACTGTCATTTGCAACAACATGGATAAAGGAGGACATTATGTTAAGTGAAATAAGCTTAGCACAGAAAGACACATACTGCGTGATCTCAGATACATGTGGAATCAATCTAAAGAAGCTGAACTCACAGAAGCAGGGAGAAGAATGATAGTTACCACAGGGTGGGTGCGGGGTGGTTGGAGAGATTGGGGAGATATTGGTCAAAGAGCATAAATTTTCAGTTAGGAGGAGTAAGTTCAGGAAATCTATTGTACATCATGGTGACTATAGTTAATGACCATATGTTGCATACTTGAAAATTGCTATGTGCGTAGATTTTAAGTATTCTTACTACAAAAAAAATGTATGTGAGGTAATGCATATGTTAATTAATTGTGTTTAGCCATTCCACAATGTATACATATATCAAAACATCATACCAGACACCAAAAATACATAAAATTTTAATTTGTCCATTAAAAATAAGTAACTAAAAACAAACAAAAAAGCCACTATCAAACTGCGCATTTTATTACTGGAGCATAATTTTAAGGACACTGTCTGCTACATTCAGGTGGAGGAAATTTAGGGATCTCAGTAAACAGCACCCCACTTCCCACTTGAATTTGGAACTGAGAGATTACATAAAGAGTCAAGCATATGGAAATAAAATTATCATTTCATTAACAAAAAAGTTTTTTGGAGAACATGACTTAGGTATGTATAAATGGCTTGCTTCTCTGAATTGAGCTTACTACCTGAAACTGCAGGCAATATCCACAGGGACAAAGCCTACCCCTCCAAGCTTACTGCACGGTCAAGGGCAAGCCAGTATGTATGCTCTCAGCAGACAGACAGATTTCAAAGAGAGGCCTGTGGAAGAGGCTGGTGTGCACATGCGCAGTTGCTATTCCCAAACTTACTAATTAGGCATGTCACTCCTTCCATAGGGAGAAAAGAGTAAGTGGGGTAAAGAGGTGAAAAGGACATTCTTCTACTACACATGCCTCCACATGGAAATGACTGACAGGAGGATCTCCTTAACACCAAATAAGAGGGTAATTTGCAATGTTTGTGGATGGGGCTGGGGGCACAAGAGGAACACAATTTCTTAGCATCTTTACCTCCCTCCTGGAGCTGAGCTGTGATGTTGAGTTCACATTGTACTTTGGCTTTCAGCACAAGGACAATCTGCTCCTCTATAGTAATAGTGCCATCGGAATCCAGCTGTAGAAATGAACAAAATACAAACATTCCCATCATCTTAAAAAAAAAACACCATTATACAAGCTTTCATTATTTCACCTTCAAATATAATTGAAAATGACTTTTGATATCAAACTATCTGGAATAGTCCTTTATGTGAATCAAAATTCAAAATCCATCAATGTATAAGGTTTTAGAATAATTGTACTTTCACCTGATTAGCCTAAAGAAAAAAAAAGCTCATATGAGAAAATAGAAAATATGAGGAAATTTTTAATATAATTAGGCAATTACAGTAGAGACAATGTAATTAGAAAAAATAATAAACACTGAAAATTTCCCAGAATGAATATTCAATATTTTATTAATTCTCTCACAGTGTGTCAGTTGTAGCACATAGGACTAGAGAACTAAATTTATCCTTACCAAAAAACTACCAGTAAAACCCGGGCAAATCACTCAACATCTCTGGGCTTTGGTTTGCTCATCTATGAAATAAATGTGTTACTCCAAAGGGTCTCTTGTTACCTTTTCTGTCTTAATACTGAGACTCCACAACAGTAAGATTTGCACCAACATACCCATTCAATCATTACTTGTTTAATACTTTTACATGAAAAATAATATGCTTGATATTATAATAAAGGCTTTCATTTTCAAAGATGTTTTCATGAAGTACATTTTCTTCAAATAAGTTTTTTATGAAGTACATTTTCTTCAAATAAGAAACCTCATGAGGAAACCCCACTTCTTTACATAAAATGGCAGAACTGCCCTGGCTGAAGTCTAGGGAAGGCGATTGTGGAACCACTCTTCACACTAATTTGGACTTACCTTACCTGAAACTGTTCTGGAAAATCACAGAGCTTCTCAAAGCATTGTTGGAATGCTTTTGTCAGAAAACCACTATTAATAGGAATACAAAGATGTATAACAGCATTTATTTTTTTATTATTTTTTTTTCTCCTTTTTTGTCTTTTTTCGTGACCAGTAACGGGATCGCAACCCTCGGTGTCGCAACCCTCGGTGTCGCAACCCTCAGTGTCGCGCCCGCACCACGCTCAACCAGTGAGTGGACCGGTCTCTATATGGGATCCGAACCCTCAGTGGGAGCGCCGCCGCGCTCCCAAGCGCCACACTCTACCGAGTGCACCACCGGGCCGGCCCGTATAACAGCATTTAATAAGACCTCGATACAAATGTTTCTGTCTACTGGATCCCTTTCAACAGATAGCTTGATATCCATTCCCGCCCTGAAGCATGTTTTTAGCATATAACAAGAGAATGATAAATGCTTGTTGGATAAAGATCATCTAGATCTAATACCATCAGTAATGGAAAGGAAATTCTATTATTAGAAAACTTTAATTTCAATAAAATACATTTAAATGTGATAAAATATTCACAGGTCTTTGTTCAAAGTATGGTGCTAATGATGCCTGTGTAAAATTTAGATTCTTAGGATATACACCAGACCCAGCAAATCAGAACTTATTTCTGAAAGTGGAGACTAGTAATCCTCATAGTTCACAGAAACCCCCAGTGATTCTTGAGTTTCATGGATTTAAGAACCAACATATCTGAAGTTATGAGATGATGGTTTAGACATTCTGTGAGCAGCAGAACTACTAAGATATTTAGATTATAGAGACAGAGAAAGAGATAGAGATAGAGATGGAAGTAGAAGTCGAGGTAGAAATAGAGATAAGGATGGGGTAGAATAAAGTATTGGTTGCAGGGATTTGGCCTTATGTAATTGTGGGAGCTGGTTAAACAGTCTTTGGAAGGTACTTTTTTGTGTCTGATTCTGGAGCTGGAAATCCACAGGACAGGCGGTTGAAAAGATGAATTGAAAGGAAGAGTAATAAGCTGGAACCATGAGCATGAGCTAAAAAAAAAAAGCACATGGACACACTGAAACTCATGTTAATCCTTGGTGCCTTCAACCTTGATGATGTGGGTGTTCAACAGGAGAAGGAGGCACCCTTCATCATAGTCCTAAACATGTACTTGGCCCAGGAATCAGGGAAGCTAAAGGAGGACCCAGGGAAAGGTGGAGAAGTTTGCAAGCATGGCTGCTGCCCCGTGACAATGAGATGAGCCTGCAGACAAGCTACAATGTGTGTGAGATACAGAAGAGCCTGTCTTGACCTTCTGAGTGTAAACCAAAAAAGGGCTGTTGCTTCACCTCTGTCCTCCAACACTCATTTAAGAAGTTTCCCTTGTGGCTGACCC